GAGAATAATTTTTCTCTCTTATAGTTTCAAATACATTTTTGATTCTATGGCAGAGAACAATTCTACTAGTAAAAGGGCGAGGAGAGCCCTTCTGTAAGAAGGGATATTTCAGGATAGAAAGATGATGACCTCTTGAAATCTGAAGGGAATTTTGTTTCTTCTTTTCTTTTTCTTTCTTTCTTTCTTTTTTTTTTTTTTTTTTTTTGCTTTATTTATTTTATAGTCTTTCAAAGCAAGGTCTCAGAGTTCACACTGGCCTTAAAATCACTATGTAGCCCAGACTGGTTGGGAATTCATAGAAATCCTCCTGCCTCAGCCTCCCAAGTGCTGGGATTACAGGCATACATCACCCTACTCAGCAAAAGTTTTTTAAAATATACTTTTCCCCCTATTGGTACCAGGGATTATACCCAGGAGTACTCTACCGCTCAGCTACATCCTCACCCCCAGCACTCTTAAATGTTTCATTTTGAGACAGTGCTGCTAAACCGATCCAGTGGCCTTGAATTTAAGATCCTTCTTCATTATCCTCCTGAGTAGGTGGGATTAAAGGAATTTTCCCACCTCGCCTAGCTAAAAGAAACTTTTTTTATTTCAAAAGTTTTAGATTTAAGGTACAACACAAGAGTTCATACTTGGTTTTCCCTGCTATTACCATCTGGTCGCAAATAAACGTATTTGTCACAGTGTAAAATGCAGGCTTCATCCACATTTCCTTCGTTTTTCCTGAAATCCCTTTTCTGTTTTAGGGTGGGCTCTTCTTGACTGAAAATTCCATACACTTTTCTTGTATATGCTGACCTGACAGTTTCCAGGAATACCATCAGGTACTGTGCTGAATATTTCTTAATGCGGATTTATCCATTGTTTTTCTCAAAATCAGATTGGAGTTGCCAGGTGTGGTGGTGCATGCCTGTAATCCCAGCAGTGGGAGGCTGAAGCAGGAAGACTGTTGGAAATTCAAGACCAGTCTGGGCTACAAACTGAGCTCAAGGCCAACCTGAAGTGCATAGTGAGACCCTGTCTCAAAAAGACAAAAATAAATAAATACATAAAACTAGACTGCAGTTAAAGACCTTTGAGAGAAAACCACAGGATGCCACTTTCGCCACACATGCTCAGGGCACTTACTATCTGCAATACATACTATCATTACAACAGTTCTGCTGCTGTTGACCTCTATCACACTGCTAATGAGATACTGTCACATTTCTCCAATGTAAATGGTTCTTTCCCTACTCTCCACACTGCGTTCTCTGGAGATGAGTTCATATTCTCTAGAGTGCAGTCATATTCTCCCCCTCCTTGAGAGTGAAATACGTACATCATTTATTTGGAGCTCTTCGGTACTGTGGATCTGTCTATTCTTCTGCACCTGATTACTTATTGAATTATTTATTCCTACCAGTTTGGTCTCACAGGCATTAATTTAAACTCTGAGTTATCACTCAGCAGCACCCTACATATTTGGCTGCTCAGCTTTGGCCATTAGGAGCTGCTTCAGATGGGGACTTGTCCACCTGCCTAACTCTGTGGTTTGTGGCTAGCACTGCTGTGTGAATGCTTTCTTACTTTCTGACAGGCTTACGTTGTATATTCCTATCCCAGTCCTAGCCGTTTCACTAGGAAATTCTCATTCCTTTTATTGAAAGGACAAAATTATCTGATCTGAATAAACAAAAGATCTGAGCTGGGGATGGTGGTACATGTCTGTAACCTGAGCACTCAAAAAGAGGCTGAGGCAAGAGGACTGTCTTGTGTCTGAGGTCAGCCTGGACTACACAGTAGGTGCAAGGCCAGACTGAACCACATACCAAGACTCTTGTCCCAAACAAAAAATCAAAATCTGGACTCTGGGTGTGCTCACTGATCTTCTCAGCTGATAAGCAAGTAAATACATGTTTCTGTTTTAAACTTTGGAACCATACACACCCGTAACTTTCTGTATGCAATCATCCATATCTGTATTAAGCTAAACACACATTCACAGTGGTCTCCAATTCTAATTGGTTACGACAGGAAGCATGTTAGACCCTTCCTCTTGCTATCTATAACCTCTCACTTCCAACAGTGAGAAGCCTGCCTTGCATCTTCCACCATCCGTTTATTTAACTGCTCAGTTTTACCAAACACAGATAGTAGTGCTAGAACTGTCAGCTGGTAGCCCTATGGGAAACCATGCTGCCAACCATTCTACAGTGTTTGTGTCAGGTTCCTTTTGCCTTTACTCTTACAGTCTACTCATTTCCAAAGTTACTTAGGGGAGGCTGCTCAGAGCACTTGCTTAGCATGCAAGGGACCCTAGGTCCCATGCTTAGCACTGTGAAACAAAAACAAAGTTATTTAGGGCAGCATTCTCATCCCCACTCCCTTCAGGGAAGCTGTTTCATAAGTTCATAATGTAATTTGACTGTCACCCTTTGCATTACAGCCTGGGATCATCCCACCTTCTAAATGGTTATTTATTTACTACCAAACAAAACAATTCAGTTTAATTCTGAGAAGAGTGAAAAGCCACTAATGGAACTTGAAAGATTCCAATTTAGACAATTTTTTAAAGTTTTTGTCCCATCTCCACTTCAAAATAAAAATTTACTGAAAGCTTTTTTAGGGGACAGGAGTATAGCTCAGCAGCACAGGCACCCACCTGGCAAGTGCCAGGTCCTAAGTCTGATTCCTGGTATCAAAAAAAAAAAAAAAAAAAAAAGAAAGAAAGAAAACCAAAGAAATCTACTATAATTCATTCATCTTTAAAACGTACTTGAAAATTTTGCATACAATACATGACATGGGGAAAAAAAGTTGCTCCCTTGCACAACTGAGACTTTGGTTTTTCTAAGAGCTTCTTGTTACTTTATTCAATTTTCCAACCTGCAAATGGGAATAAAGTTTCCCAACTAGGGCTGAATTTACGGTAAATGTATTGATTGAATTCTGTCATTCGAGGGTAAATATGCAACAACTGTCTCAATTGTAATAAATGTGAACTTTATGCCCTGGAAGAAATAAGGTCTACCTAATAATTTTCACACATTTGTGAAATTTTCTATTTTTACCTAATTAACTTCACAAAGTACTGTATGATGACTCCATGATTACCATCCACTTTCATCAATAAGGAATTATTTTTGTCTAACAACCTGGAATTTTTAGTCAACTTATGTCCTTAAATTATTCAGTTACCTGTACATAATTATATTTATTTTTAAGCACACAGGAGACTTTAGAGAGAATTGGTGATCATTCATGAAATATTATCTTGACAATAAGAAAATTCTCATCCCTCCAAAAAAATCTTTCTATTACTCTTTTTTACATTAACATTTCTTATCCTTGTCAGATTGCATAAATGACCATAATATACTAACATATAATCAAAAACTTCCAAGAATATAGTTTAAACTTCTGCTGTGATCATTCATTTCATTGAATTACCAGAAAAAGGAGACATGGAGAGCACATTCACCATGTCAATGGTGAGGAGTGAAATGTGCCCAAGCCTCATTAGCATCTTTATGGAAACTAGCATTTATCTGTAAGTTGCATTTTTGCATATAATTTAATTCAACAGTCTAATGTAATGTCTTTCTTTGTAGTAAGCATTTAGGAGAGAAAGTCATGTGTAATTCTTCTAAATACTGTCAGTAGTTTCTTTTCTCCCATTATTCTAGTTTAAAAATGAAATCTCTGGAATATTAAAAGCTGTAATTTCCTAGTTAAATATTCTGAGGCAGTACATGTTAAATCTTCTTGATAATCCCATTCTTGATCATTTTTAAAAATCTGGAGATACCATAAGAACAATTATTTCTTTCTCTCTGTTTTCGGAGACCATCCAACAAGTTACTCTATAAATAAATCACTGTGCTTTTGTACTGACATAAGTTTGTACCAGTCTTGCAGTTTCCTAAAGGCTGCCTCAGACTCTAGCTGCCTAGACAGGAAGTGAATTCATTTTGAGCAGGCTGGAGGCAAGAACAGAGGGAAGGAAGGATTAGAGGCAAATACTAGGATAAATGGGGCTCAAAGAAAACCCCTAAAAACTAAGATTTTTGAGGGGTGGGTTAAGGAAGAGATATAAGCCATTCCAGGAAGCAAATGCTTCAATTAAGAGGTTCCAGTGCTATAAAAAATAGGCTCTCAGACACAAGTTACAGAGACCAACATTCCTCCAGCCAAACTCTGTAATGATTATCAAAATGATTTACAGTATATTAGCATAAAGAAACAGATCACATAATGAGGAATCAATGAAGTTCAAAATTTCTCAAATTCTAAAAAAATCTAGACAACTGTTAGAGGAAGGGCAGTAAGAAAAAGCCAAATGACTGCCTAAACGCATGCCCCGAACACCACGCCTCATCCATTTCTTCTCTCTGCACCAACACCAAGAGTCTTGCTGGTACCAAATACCAGGAAGTTACGGTCAAGGAGGTGAGTGGGCAGACTTAGCAGGACGGTTTCATGCCTCAGAAATAAATCTTTCAGTTTGCTCTAGGAGTTCACATCATGTGACAACTGAGAAAGTCTAAAGGCAAAGCTGCCAAGGTAGATCCAGCAGGAAGATCACAAGGAGAGCTGGCTTTATCTGAAAGCAGTCTGCCTGGCTTCCCACCCACCCAACTCTGCAGCAGTCTGTTCCCTCAGGGGACTAGAAAGTACTTGTTCCCAGACCGATCACTCCCATGGGGAAGTTACTAGCTATGAGCTGGACTAAGAGTCAGGCTTAGGGTTCCATCAGTAAGCCCATCAGTAAGCGTACCTTTCAATCTCTTCACTCAGAGGTAGGGGCATTTAACAGTCTTCCATCCTGACTCACAGGAGGCAATCCTACTGAAAGTTCCACATACCCGGGAATTTACCTGCTTCCCTGTGGGTCTCAGGAGATAAGGGTAACACCACAGAACAAACCGAGCAGTTCTGGAGACTTGGCCCCTTGTCTGAGAGCATCCCTGAGATGTCTAACATGAGCAAGGCTGCAGGGCACTGGGATAACCTACCTGCCACTCTGGTCTGAGGTCCACGTAACTGACTGTCCCTCGGGTCTGGTTTTGTAATATATCCTGATGGCATGAGGAAAGTCAGTAGCTGTCTGAGCCCCTGTCTTCTTGATCTGTAAGCTCCACGCGTCAGTGTCAAAGAAGAGTTCTCCGCAGCTAGGAGCCTGGCTGCAGCGAGCAAAATAGTCTAACTGCTCCCTCCAATGATCTGCAGGCAGAGTCACAAGTTCATGAACAATCTCATTCCGGAGCTCTTTAGAAACAACTGTCAGCTTGGAAGACCTTGTAAATTTTTCAATACCTTGCACAGCGGCCACATCCACCTCCTCGACCTTTAACACAGATAAATCACAGCAGTCCAGCACCACCAAAAAATCCTCTCTCCCATGATTCTCTGTGTCACAGCAGTACTTTGAGCTAGAGATCCCAGGAGCCTGTTCCTGGTTGTCATGGTTACCATCTTTATCAGATGTATCTTCCTCACCTTTATCACAGATTATAAAATCATTATATCCCACATTAAATGTGGTCCTTGCATTTGGCACAGGAAGATGGCAGAGCTCAGGTGTCCCAGATTTGCAGGCTTCCTTTGATGCCAACTGGCAGGTTTCCTTGGTAGAGCCAGTCTGCGGCTTGAATCTGTTTCCATCCTCAAAGAAAAGCACTATGGTGCCCTCGATAACGCGACTTTCGAAATTCACATCTAAATCCAGTACATAATGCTTCACCAGTATGTGGCTGGTGTTGGCCATAAGAGGCAGATCATCTCGGGCAGGGTCCAGCTTTATGTCCATGGTGCCGTTTGCTGTGGAAGAGCTTTGCTAAAATCTCAGATGAAGCTTTGTCTCTGCCTTTAATCTTCCACAATTGTTAAGTGGCTACTAACAAGAAATAAACAAAACTGATGTCACTGTGTTGTGTTTCACAATTTTCAGTCCCCTGGCAAAGAAGAAAAGTACAATTAGGTAAATTCCAAAGGCCCTAAGGCTCCCGCAGACCACTGTTCCTGCAGGTTGACTACCATCCTTAGAAAACCCCATCGTGCTAGATCCTCATAGCTAGGAGGCAGACTAATCTTCTTGACTGACATGAAAGAAAGCTGCATTGTGGGGTTTCTAAAAATATTTCAATTACCCATGGAGTGAAATGGGCCCCCACAAAGGCAGAAGAAACATGTTCCTAACTAGAACAATTCTTGTTTTGGAAAAGACCAATTGTTATGCAAAATCGTAACCGAGAATCACTGTGCCTCGTTTTAAAATATATTAAATGTATCATTTCTAATTTTGTGCATCAAAAGATAAGTGACTGTTTCTCTAGTGTGATTCTAAGTAACAAGTGTGAATGAGGGCTAAATGGCCTCATACATTTTATTCTTTGAGAGTAATAATTTAATACATACAATGTAACTCCAGGGATTAATGTACTTTCACATTAGGACTGCTCTCATATCAGCACTTCCAGTAAATTACAGGAAAATGAGCCAATTTACCAGGAGTGCATTCTAAGTATTCCTTTGAGATTGTTCATGGAGATTTTTCAAATTTATAGTTAAATACTCAAGGTATATCATTACATCTTAATAGCTGAAAACCCATTAACATTCTGGATAATAGCCTTCTTGTGGCAAACAAAAGGTCTTCTCATTTGGAAAAAAAGTATGCAAATACCTATAAAAGGAGAGAAATTAAAACGTAGAAACAGATGTTGTAATAAAATGTACAAATTCCTTATAAAAGTTCTGAATCAAAATGTATTCTTATTATATAATAGCAATACAGCTAAAAGAAAAATTATTTTAAATTATTTCAGTGCCTAATGTGTACCTAATTTAAGCATATGCTATTCATTTATTCTTTTAACAAAAATGTAAAAAAAAATGGCTGAGGAAAAATAAGAACTGACAGAAAAAAAAAAAACTCTTGACAGAGTAGATATATTTAAAACAATTTTTGTGTTTCTAAATATCTTTTTATCAACTACAAAACATTACTTGCTTGACTTTTCACGTAAATTGTGCCCCATACTGTTTTAACTCCTCACTTCCCCTCTGACTATACCTGCTTCTCTACTACATCTCTCTATTTCCTTCCCTTTCAGAATCTCATTCCAGCAAACAACTCTATTGAATTTTTAGTTTCTACCTCTCCACAGGTGACTTCCTCATCAAAGTCCTGGCTAATCTTAGGACTGCAGCCTCCCGTGGCTTTGTGCAGTTGGTTGAAGCTATTTTTCCAGTTATGGAGCTGATTCTCCCGTTGCATCCCTGTCTGCTAGTCACACAGCTTGACCCAGACGCTGCTCCCTGAAGATGGCCTGACTCCACGACTCCCTGATTTCTGCTCTGGGCCTTGTGCCCTCCCAGTGTGTTCCTAGCTCCCACCTCCCATGTCTACCTATCCAATCCTATTCTCCTTCCATGCCTCAGTTCAAGCACCACTGCTTCTGAAAACCCTTCCCCATGCTTATCGCTCAACCACCAAACCGAACATGGCCATGACTTTCAACACAACAGGAGTAGAGAAAAATCAAGGATGCAAATCATAACTCAAGATTTCTTTATACAGAAGCTGGTATTTTTCTGGAGCCTAAAAAATCAGTGGGCATAGGAGACAAACTAAGGTATATTATTTTCTGTATAAGAGTGACTGAACTTCTCCATCAATGATTAATAACCTTTGATAAAATCACTGACTATATCTATGTAATGAGAAACAGATACTAAAATTCCATCCAGCTGGTCTTCTGAGCTGCTAACATGCAGCCTGTTGACTGGGCTTTTCAAATAGCTTTTTAAAAATGAAAATACATATGCACACACATATCTCTGTGGCTGTCTGAACTATCATATTTGGAGAAAAATGGCTTAGCATTTATATAAATATAACTATTTATTATTTAACGCTAGTAGATGCCTTCAAAATCTGTGTAGTTTAAGAATAAATTTTAATCTATGGAGCAGAAGTCCTGGAACCCCCAAGGCCATAGACTGGTATAGGAACCAGGACGTATAGCAGCTAAGTGAAGCAAAGCTTCATCTGTATGGACAGCCACTCCCCATCACTCACATGACTGCCTCAGCTTAGCAGTGGCATTAGATTCTCATAGGAGTGCAAACCCTACTATGAACTGTGCATGATAGGAATCTACACGGCTCACTACTTATAAAACTAAAGTATCTGATTATCTGAGGTGGAGCTGAGGCAGTGATGCTAGCACTGGGGAGTAGTAGCAAATACAGATTTAATAATAGCAGAGACTATAATAATAGCAGAGAGGTTTGGCTGCACAGAGACCACAATAAATCAACTGTTGCAGATGCATATCAAAACCTTATTAGTGAATGGCAAGTAAGCATTAGTCTGTATCTGATGGCAAGCTTTATAATTGCAAGTGAGTGATACACTTCAATTGTACAGCTGCATCTCGTAGCAGGCTTTAAAATGAATCTGACACTTATTCCAGTCCACACTTGGTTCACCCATTTTTTTATTTACCACTCCTGTCCATACCTCTTTCCCATACTAAATAGTTGTCTCAGTCACAGTTTAGGTAAGCTCACAAGCTAACCAGTCAAAATGATTAAAATGTAAACATCACTGCAGCGCTTCTTTGAAAAGAGAGAGAGGCCCTAAGATGAGATAGTAAACTCTACAACTGCCAACAAAATGAAACTTGCATAGAAAAGAAAGCACCAAGAATTCTATATAAAGTACAGATTCAGAGCAGTGGGTGATTCATATTCCCCAAGCCTGCTCTGTGTAACATGTGGTTACCAGCTATGCAACTAAGCTATGAAATCTTTAAAACTATTTTGCCACGGGGAGATCAAGCACCTGCATTAAAATACAAACTTTAGGAGTTTCTCAAAAGAAAAAAAAACACATTTAAAAGGAAGCAATTATTGGGACAGGGATATAGCTCAGCAGCACAGCACCTGCCTGGCAGGCACAAGGTCATGAGTTCAATTTCAGGTACAATAAAAAAAAGGAGGAGAAGGAGGAACAGCCGCAGCAGCAGCAGCAATTAGTGAAGGTCTTTACTTTATCAAATGTGTTTGTATTGACAGCATCATTCTTTGTTGCTAATTGCATCGTTAGAGCTAAGAAGCCCTTTACACTGGTAAAGAGCTGATCCTGTCTGCTGCTAAGGACATGTGTTGTGAACTTTCAGGAGAAGCTGCAGCTTAAAAAGTGGCGCATGTCCCTCTTTCGGTGAGCACCATAGACAAAATGATGAAAAAACAGCAAATATTGAGGCACAAGTGCTAGAGAGGATTAAGTCACCAAGATATGCAACCCAGGCTTCCAAGTCTACCCACACTGATGAGGCAACAATGCTTATTCTTGTTCGGTATATTTTGCAGCTGGATGTGCATGTGCACTTTTAGTGGCAACCAACACCACAGCTGCAGAGCTACCTGAGCGTAAGAATGAATACATACCAGGAAAACTGAACTGATCACTTGATACTGATATATCCACCAATGGAGTGGCTGCTGTGACCAGATGACTTTGGTTTCTCTACTCAGGTCAAAGAAACTGCTTCTGAATGTAAGTCTAAGGACTGTGTTATCCATAGAGAAATGCTAGCTAGCTGAAAAATGTCACCTTAACTTAACATTTTACAAGATGTGATTAAAATTACCAACTACATTAAAGCCCATGACCTTAATTCATATCTGTTCATGCAGGTCTACAAGGAGATAGGCACGGAGGGCTCACATCTTCTTCTATACACGGAAGTGAGACGAGTTTCCTCACATAGATAACTGCCAGAGTTTCTGAATTATGAGAGTAACTTCAGAGATTTCTTTTAGAAAAAGTCACCACTGGCAGTACATTTCAGCGACACAAATGAGTCACTAAATTTGCTTATGCGTGTGACATATTCAACCTACTCAACAGACCCAATTTGTCACTTCAGGAGAGAATGAAGTTTTTTCAAGTTAGCAGCTAAGGTGGCTGCATTCAAAGCCAAACTGGAATTATGGGTGCAATAAGAGAACACTAGAACTTTTGATATTTTTCAAACATTGGCAGAAATTTTGAAAGACTGAGGCGGAGTCTTCTTTCTCCCAGCTAATGCGAGATCACCTATCTCAGCTTAAGAGAGCTGGAGCAGTACTTCCCAAACGACAAAAGACCCTGATTTAGAAAGGAATCAGTCCACAACCTATTTGTGAATAGGACAGGTGAACTTCCTTCATCTGCCCCAGGAAAGGATTCCCTGCTTGAGATGGAAAATGATGGTGGCCTTAAAAGTATGTTTGAGACAACTTCAAGTCTCTTAGCATTCTGGATTATAGTCAAAGCAGCCTGAGATTGCCACAAAAGCACTGAAAAGCCTGCTTCCAGTCCCAACATTATCTTTGTGAAAAACAGTTTTCTGCAGAGACAGTAACCAAAATGAGCTAACAGAGTAAATTAGACATAACCAACACACTCTGGGTGACACCATCTTCCACAACCCCAGACGTGACATCTACTTGGAGGAAAATGAGCTCAGGGCTCTCCCTGATTCTGTTTAATAGTGAATTGTGTAATTATTTCATTATATATTATAGTGTAATACTGATAGAAATAAAATAATAAATGGTATGCACTGGAATCATCCCTGAATCATGTCTTCCACAAAACTGGGTCGGTGGTGTCAGAGAGCAATGCTGTGGCACTGTCTGGGCCTTATCTTTTCAAACCTGTGCTCAAAACCAGTGCTATCAAAATCCCCAGTGGCTAACCACTGCCACCTCTAAAATAAGTGCATTGTATTTTGTGTTTTGAAATTTTATCTTTAGTGGCTTTGTTGTTTATTTTGGGCTTTTTTTTTTTTTTGTAGTGGGGGGCAGGTTGCAGAGACACAGTGTCTTTCCCTGTTACTCAAGCTGGGCCCAAACTCCTAGGCTCAAATGATCATCTGATCTCAGCCTCCCCTATGGA